TTTCTTATTTCAAAATTTTGTTTTCATAAACAAACACACGAAAGTAAACTTAAACAATTTTCTTTCTTGACGATTGTATTTCTATCAAGAAGATTATATTGTTTAAGCTATTGGAAATAAGAAAAAAAACTGAAAGTAAGTGAAATGGATTATTTTTTCTGAAAGAATGACATATTCAGAATCACCATCACATTTTAAGTGCATTCAATCCCATTTTGTTTCGAACATTGCTTTCATCTTTAACTCTTTGGAAGATCTACGAACAGTCAACAATAACTTTTTTGAGAATCTTTTGAATCGTATGGATAATTCCATGGAGTCTCACCTAACCGATTCTGCGACCATCTCTGAATCCTTTAAAGCTTTTAGTACTTGTAGAACTTTTTCCGACGATCATTTTGGTGACACATGTTTTCCATTCAGACTCTATTTTTAAAAAGATATGAACCAAATATTATATATACATTTTTGTCTTGTTCCAATAAATAGAAGCCGCATTTTCTCAAAACATTGATGATAGTGTTTGATTATTGGCCCATATCATAAAACCAATAACAAAGTCAGATTCTTTGTGACAAACTGCACCAGATTTCTTATGAGTTTAAACATTTTTTACAGGGTCTATTGACTGACAATATAATTGACTTGAAACGAAAAGTATTTTAAAAGATGTCAATCAGAAAGTCGAAATAAACGAAAATGCTGGTATTGTCAAATTGATAGAGTAGAACTTCACAATATGCACTAACTATTTTTCTCCTGATCTGTAGTACTGTAAGGCACTAGTGCCAAAATCATTTTCGATCACAACCTTTTAGTCAGTTTTTCTCAGTATATTCGTGAAATCTGGTCATGTACTCGGAAAGCTACATCTAAGTTTATTGAAGCTTTCAGCATTTGTAGAAGTTTGTGCGTTGATCATTTTGATATCGAACTGTTGAATATATGACTCTATTTTCGCCAACATATAAGTGGAATACTATAAACATATAGTTTTTTCATTTACGATTATTTCGCATGAAAAATGCGTTTATCTATTAAAATGATAGTGATAACACGTGACTATTTGCTTAGATCTGCAACTTAATAACTCATTCGGACTGAACATGAAAACTACATTAAAGTCTATGCGAAATGTATGAACTATCCAACATCCATGTAATATAATTTGTATCATTTGAGACATATGCAAAGTAGGGTGTGTGGAAAAACATTTAGCATTGATTAAAAAGACAAATATATTACTTATAAAAGTTTGCAACTATGTTTTTTATGAAATGAGAGTTGGGAAGAAAACTAAGTGATCAGTTCATATTGTAGAGCTAATGCTGTCCTATCGAATCGTTCATGTCCTTATTTTAGATTATTTGACTTTTTTAATCCATTGTAAATATTTTTCATCGACTCTAATTTGCATGTATGTCTCAAATGATCAAAATTATAATACATGATGTTGAAGACTTCATAAATTTCATATAGGCTTTGATGTAGTTTTTCATGTTCAGTTCGAATGCATCATTAGATTCCAGAGCTAAGCTAATAGTGAGCTGTTATCACTTTCATTTTGAGAGACAAACGCATTTTTAATGTGAAATAATCGTAAAAGAAAAAATATATGTTTATTGTATTTCACCTGTATCTTGGTGAAAATAGAGTCAAATATTCAACAAACCTCTACAAACACTGAAAGTTTTAAAAAATTCGGAGACAGTGGTAGCATTGGCTGACGAAGCCCTATGCATATATCCATATATCATCAAGTACAGAAATTTATCCTGATTCAAAATACATAACATATAATTTTTTTTGTTAGAAAAATAATCACGTCAAGTTCTTGTTGATTTCTTTCTATTATCTTTTTCTTAAAAAAAGACAATTGAAAATGTTATTCATGAGTACCCAAGTGTGTTTCTGCTGATGAGAATTTTATGCATATTTAGATTGAACAACGATTGTAACGATCATGACGATGAATAAAAATCGAACATCTGCCAACTCTATTCACAGTAGCTTATGGGTGAGAGATCTGCATTCTGGTACAAAATCACCAAGAAGACATTACAATACTGGTAGGAATGATCATTTTTTGATTACAGTTTGCTGCAATCTTAAGAATAATTTCTAATCCCTTGTTTTAAAACTTTTTGGAAAGAGAATAGTCATATCTCTGATTAGTTTTATTTTAATTTAAACATTTTTTTTTTTACAAAAAAGTGATAAACAAATCGTTTATCTTATCATCATCTTAGAACTGAATAAAATGTGTGAGAATAACGTAAGAAAGATCGTAAATATTTGATTTCTTCAGGTTTTGTTGTAACCAATGACTCTCGGCGATCAGTTTCAAGAGAAAATTTCTTGAAGCATGAATTTAGATTTGTACTTTTCGTATATTGTGTTTCAAAAGTTAAAACTCACTGAATTTTGACATGTTTTGAAACTCTAATGTTAAAACGTATGTTTTAATTGAATTTAGGTCGACTACCTCAAACCTCATCAATACGAATAGCAGCAACGGACAATGAACAATGTCAAACACCTTTGAAGCTACAAGGTTGGCTGTATGTTCATCTCTATCGTGGTTTGAGTAACACTGCAGATCGATCTGTAAAACTTTTAAGGAAAGGTGATACAAATGAGGCAATAAAGTTTTGGGAAAGGGCACTTCTTTTCTTTGAAGAGTTGGACAAGCGTCAAAATATTTCAGATAAAAATGTATGGTATTTTGAAATATATTTTTTTGTTAAAAAATTTATTTATTTATTTATTCAATTGACAGAGAGCTGAATTGAAACAATTGAAAGCCAAATACAAAGAGCATGAAGAACAAATCAATCAAATAAAATAGAGCAATCGAGTTGTAATACAAAAGAAAAATACGAAAGCATGGTTATTATAATCTTCAATTAAATTTTTCATTCTTTTTACATGTATAAAAAAACAAACGAACAAAATCTAAACTAACAATAAAGTAATTTGAACAAAACATTGTTTTGTTACTCTCGATTGAATTTGTCAATTGTTTTATCGAGGTGTGGGTGTGGGATGTGAATCAGAGGCTCATGAATACCACAAACCCACGCCCACACCCTTTCTATCCTTACTGTATTGTTCTTCTCTCAATTTGTTATCCTTTTCTTTCTGTTCTTACTATCGTGCTCTCTCTGCATTCATCGCTTCGTATCAAAATGAAACCATGTGTCAGTATGTGTGTGTGTGTGTGTGCTGATATAAGATAAAGAAGATTTAATAAAGTGCATACTCCATCAACACTGACGAGAAATCGTTACAATTATCTTTTGGAAAAAACAAGCTACTATGTGAAAATTAAAGGAATCGTATTTTTTTTAAACACAAATTTAATTGTTTCAAAAGGTTAACAGGAGATACGACAGTGGAATCTGATTTTTTTAATTAAAAGATTGTGTAACGGCAAAAATATATCATACGAACAACAACAAATGAGAATAAAAGAAAAATACTAGACGATATTGAGGAATGTTATACACATATATATGATACTATTACAGTTACGAGAGTTTTACCTATCACTATGTTATGACTAATCTTATGTGGGATACAATAAAAAGAAAAAAGGAGATAGAGACAGATTATTATTTTTGTCATATGTTATTGGACATCTCAAAAACAGAACATCTCAAAGTTCTTTGATTTTCTAAGATTTCGTTTTATTTTATTTTACTCGTGAGGATGTGGATGTCTCCTGTCAACAGCCACAACCATACGTCACAGCTATACCTTCAGATCACCCATACCCATCCCTATTTATCAAAAATCATGAAAGGCTTCAAGTAACATCTGCTTTATATTTTTAAGTACCAAAACTTTTTGTAGATTCGGAAAAGAATACTAATGTCTATTGATTTAACACTGGATATAAGTAAAACATTCATTATCGTTAAAGTCTCTTTAGTTGCTCGTCAGATTGTAATTGTATTCTTCGTTCAGCTTCTTGCTTGATCATTGTTTGTTGAATATGCATCGGTAGACCAGGATTGAGACTCAAAGCGTAGGGCAATAATGTTTTCTGTATTTCTCCAAAATCAACCAGAATTTTGATGAACATTGTGTCATCTCTTATATACGGACTTTCTTCCTGTTGAATCATTTCCAATGGAATAAATTTTGGTATACCACTCGCTATATTCATATCCGATCGAGGTCGTTGAAAACTACTTGATTTAATATCTGGTCGAAATGAATCAATAATATGTCGTTGTGAAGACGTTTGATCGTACAAGCAGAATGAGACTTTATAGTTGAATGGGAATTTTAGAATTGGATCATTCAAACTTCTCATCAGTACAAAAAAAAGCGACATATGTGTACGACGAGCATTTCCATCACCATTTAAATAAAGACGAGCTCTCATTTTATAACCATTTGGAGATGAATAAAATGGAGGTGAATAAATTGATGTTTGTCTTTCAGATTGTGCATCGACTAGAAATCAAACGAAAACGCTTTTCAGCGCAGTCTCTTTGAAGCTAAAATGTGGAGCTCACATGTCTTTTTCAGTTTCGTTATACTAATGCAAACCCTCTAACTTAAAATGTGTCGCATTTATGTGTCCTGCATCTCAACATAAAAATGTGTCGCGCTTAGAAGGTATCGTATACAATTTCGTCGCATTCTATTTGTTCACTATTCATTCACCGTTTTTGTTATGTATGCACAGCCATATATAAGCAACACGGTTGAACGTAAGGAAGATAAATATTTTCACAATAATTTTTTTCTAGATTATTTCTCGACATTTTATTGGTCGAGAAAATGCCAATCTCGATCAATATTCGAGAGAGGACTACCTTGAATCGGCCTGACGGAGATCGGGCCAACTCGAGGCTGGTCAGATCTCAAGATCTAACCTGCTTCAGTTTTCAAAATAGGAATAATTATAATGGAATTAAATTAAAAAAATTCATAATATGCTTTTTCAGAAGAACCAATAAAAAATGTGTCGTGCATTGTGTCGTAAATCACGACACATGCGACACATTTTAACTTAGTGTGAAATCTGTTAAGTAAACAATGCCTAGCAAACCATAGTAATCATCTAAGGATAATTGATTACCGTTTATTTCTGGATTTCGAAGAAATTTTTCTTACTTGTGTTCTCTTTTAAATTTATCTCATTTTGATTCGCTTCTTATTTATTTTCTTTTTTTTTTCAATTACTATTATAATAATTATTCTAATTATTCATTGAGATGATAATAAACCTGCTGTACACATCTATTATATCTACAACATGTCTCAACATGTTATTCGGCTTGTCCATGTAACGCAACACTTCGCTGAACAAGTTTCGATAAAATTTTTTTTCGAATTGGATAGATTTGAATGAGTTAATAGATGCAGTTTTTAACGCTGATTACGAATTTGACACTTATTTTGTACAAAAATTAGATTTTGGCATTGAAAACTGGGTTATAAACTTTTCAAAAATCGTATTTTGGACTTTCTGATCAAGAAATTTTTCCAAAAAAAGTCGACGGACATATCATTCGATGCAAAATTTCATTCTCTATAAGATGACCTATTTAGTTTCGACTTTTGTGGCTAAGGACAATTTTTAGACTCTTATACAGTTTCCAACTTACTGCGCCTCGTGTAAGTTTCCATGTCGATGTATCGATCTCGTTCTTGCGTAAAACGATTAGTTATGCAGAAAAGATTAACACTTATAAAAATCAAATCGCTATGACCATGTTCAGTGCCTCAAAATCGGTCGACAAAAAAACTGTGTCACAGCGTTATGTTTTGTTTTTGCATTTTTTATCTAAGCAAAAATAATTTAGAGAAAATTTCTTTTAGCGTTTAGAAGCCTGTTCAAATCTCTACAAAACTGGCTCTAGAAGTGCTTAATTTGGAGTAACATTTTCACAAGACATTGCAGTTTTATTAGCGACTCTGAAGAAAAAGGGTCTTTTTATGTCACAGCGTTACGAGACCAAAAACCCTTTCTCGAAGCTCGAGACTTTTACCGAAAAAAGTCGTTTTTATGGCATAAATAGAGTTTGACAAGCTGTGTCGAATGGCGTTTGAACGAACTTTCTATCTCTCATAGTTTCAGAGATGATGCAAAAAAAGTGTATCAAAAACGTAACAGCGTTACGTTTGGACAAGCCGTAATATGTACGTTGATATTATCAGAAACGTGATATTGAATAACCCCGCCATGTAGAACTTGATCGATTCATACTTTATGTTAGCCATATGGCTACTGGAACGAATCAAAGCATCACTAGTCATCATCAATGATATCTTGAATATAACGGGTCATCTCCACAAAAATCCAAAATTGTACTATTTAGTACATTCAGAAACGTATGCAGTCATCAAAATTTCGAGTAAAGCTTTGACATACTCTCACAATGCCTGAGCTTTGTTGTTAATGCTATTTAGCAAGTTTTTTGTTCTGCTAGACGATTATAGAAAGGGAGTCAGTTGTCTGTTGTCCTTGATTGCTATGGAAATGTCTACCGACTGACAATAACCTCAGTTGCTGAAGCCTATTACAAGCGTCTATAGATTACTCATAGATTATATGCGAAACTAATTAAATATTGAATATTGAATATAATATTCAATTATATATGTATTATTTGTTAATATTAAAGAAACTGAACAACGTCTTATTCTTTGATTATCTTTTTGATAAGCTTTTCTAGTTTTATCATGGACCATAAGATTAATTGTTTATCTTACTCATTTTCTCTTGAAAGTTGGTAATTTTCCAAACAAATGTTCCATCATATGACGCACATAGGGAATCGTTAGTTTTTTCTTCCAATGATACTAAAGCTTGATTAAGAATGTCTTGATTATATTTGGCGCCTTCCAAAAACCCATTTGATTCGTCAATCGATAACTTAACATTCGATAATTCTTCTGCGAGTGTTGCAAGTGTTAAATGTATTTGAAGTGATTCATTGGCTAGACGTTGTTCATCGCTGGTCAATGTTTCAATGCCATCTACCAAGATGTTGAGCATTTCATGAAGTTCTTCCGATTGAGCTGTAACAGAATTACAAGCTTCTGAAGTTGTTGTGTGAGGAAGATCAATATTCATTTGTTTATCGTTTAATCGCGATAACATTTGACGAACGACTTTGAGTAGGACATGTTGATGTTGTTCAGTCAAATAATGAGCTTTTCTTTTGTCAGAGATAATCTAAAGAACTTGATTTTTCCGACGTCAATTTTATCTAAAGAATATTCATACTCGTTCAGTACAGCCAAAATGTTTCAACATACAGTCAACAATCAGTTGTTGACATTCGAAGACTTTATGTTCATTGAATTTGTTAACTGAATTGAACTGTTTGCCACAATATTCACATTTAAGATTTGAATGAAATAGATCAAGATGTTCCTTCGAAAGAACAAGGAAAGAAGTTTCAAGCATATAGAAAATGTATCATAAATTACTTGATAGTTACTTAAGACTTCAGACCACTGACAAAAAGAACATTCAATGGGTAATGATTTCATATCATTTTCGATGCCTCGATCAAGTAGCACCTATACGAAAGAAATATATATGTTCTCTTCAATCCTGAAAACATATCTTACCTCGCTTTGTAATGTTTCTGCTTGACATTGCCGGCATTTTATTGTCTTTCTTTAAAAACAATACTAAAAAGTAATAATACTTCAAATTGATCATGAAACCTACTCTTGTTCAGCACTTAAACATGTTTGACAACATCGATGACCGCATTGGGGTAATTGTATAGGACCTCGTAATATCAATGTACACACCGGGCAAATATAGTTCGTTTGAAGAATGTTTTTATTTCTCGCATCGATGCCTACCATTACTTGATTTTTTTTTGTGTTGGTCACTGTATAAGTAGAAGTAAATTTTCAGAAATGTCAAAAGCAAATAAAAAAATACGCTAGTATCGAAATCAGTGAACAAAAGAGTACAATTGTTTGAAATAAAGAGATGTAATAAACAATATATCTAGAATTCACAAATTAGTAATAAAATACGATACACATTTAAAATTCTCAAAATGCGTAATGAGCAGTTCGAAATACGTCCATTTACTACTATTACATCAGACGTATGATTTACTGTCCATGCACTGATAAAAGTTTCGATTTTAAATGAGTCATTATTGATATTATACAGACTCATTCAAATGATGACCACGATTTATACTCAGACTTATTTTATAATAACATTAGTCATATTGGGCATTATTTTAATACGTGCTTCAAAGAATAATCGCTAGTTTTATATACTTTGAAGTCGATTCATGTTGCTGTATGAATGTGTGAGTGTGGGTCTTGTTAAAGCAAAGATCAATATCCAAACTAACATCCTAGTCAACTAATTCCAAGTGATCGATTGTTAAGCTTTTCTTGTCGAAGCCTAATGCTTGTTGGAAATATTCAAATGCTTTTACTTTATTGCCTATTTTATCATGCATCATAAGTATATCATCTAACATTGTTTCAATCGAAGGATGTTTCGATAGTAATCGCTTCCTTTTATTCTGGAAAGTCCGATCAAAGTTTTCCAAAGCTTTTGTAATCTAACCATCCTCTGCCACAAGTTTGGCGTTGATACCACCCACTTTAGGTTCCAGTAAAAGATTCTTGTTTGATAATGAATCGAACTTTTCCTCGGCTAGTCTTTGTTCTCCATCTGCAGTTCGACTATCGTCTAATGCCAAATGAGTCAAACCATGACTACAATGAGTAACAATAACTCGAGGACTATTGTCATAATCCACATAAGAATAAATATCAAGAGCTTTCTCATAAGATTCAACAGATTCTTTTCGTTTATTAGCATCTTTACAAATGAGACTAAGTAAATTGTAAACATCTCCATTTCTTATATCACTTTTCGGAAATTGTTGAATCATCCATTTGGCATAACGTTCAGCTTTGTTAAATTCACTCATTCGAAAAAGAAATCAACCAAATAATAATGCATCTAATTTCAATTTGGTTTGTTCCAACATACGATCTAAAACCTTTTTGACCAAGTAGTTGTAACAAGATACACCACATGTTACCATGTTTTTCTACTGACAAAACTTTCAAAATAGTACCTATTGAAAAGAAGTACTTCTTTTTCATCTGGATTATACGAAGGATGTTCTACAAATGCAAATGGTGTCGTTTCTTTACCGAAATTATAAACATCAATTATGAAATACACAGATTGCAATGCTAATGGCTCATTCAATTGATCACTAGGACATGAATAAAGCTCAGCTGCCTGTCGGTTAAATATAGCACTAAGGGAGCTATTCATCGCTATAAGTTGATTTACATTCTGCTTAAGTTGATCAAGTTCTGTTATATTTCAAATTTTACTGCGATGAATTGTAAAGTGATGATCAGATTGAGAAGAATGTTTATCTAAATATTCATTTTAAAGTTTTTCAACATCATTCTGACGATCATTGATGAGGCATCAAAATTTAAATATAATTTCCATATATACTGTACGTAGAGCTTTGTTTAATAATCGATATAGAAGACTATCACATGTGTACCACCAAACCGCTGTTGGATATGGGTGCGTGATATGAGTCTGGTTGTAGGTGTGTAACAGTTCTCTTGATCCATAACCACACCGAGAGCCCCACCCGCTTGTTGTGAAATTGTATGCATTAATGACAAGAGTTGAGGTCAATATGATTATCACGTATAGGTATCACATCAATGCACACTTGATAGATATCGAAATCGTTAAGATTGGCAACTGCATGAACGGCATTCATTTCAACAAACCGTAAGTGGTCCCAACCGTAATCTGGATATACACCAGTCTTCACACTATTCGTTACTATGCCAAATACAAACACTCGGATATTACCCCATTTTTTTCAACTATATCAGTACCCTATCTTGGCCTAATCAGTTTAGACTTACGTTTGATCATCAACGTAAAAAAGTCTGTAAGTACGAAGTTTGGACATCATAATTTAAGAGCCGAGGTGTAATGAACGCGTAGATTACGTGCTATCCGAACGAGTCGTAGAACTAATATTCACACCTTTTGTCGAATTTTGTTTTTCAAAGAATAAAAGTTAATATATGCAATACGTGGTTTAGCTGCGCACGCTTCTTATATATTGAAAAAGTCATGAGAAAAAGCCAAGAGGAAAAAACCAAGACTTCACAAAAGCGCACATCACTTCTACTTCAGAAGTAATGAAGTCTCGACTTTTTGCCCTTCGAAAAACCTGTGTTATCAGTTTCGTATCAAGCATATCACAAGGTATTTTCTATCGTGTCATCAGAATTTATCAGTATTTCTATTGTTTTGATTATTCTTCTCGGAAAACTATAAAGGACAGCAAAAAATGAAGAAATCTGGAGGATATGGGTTGGTGTGGGTGTGATTCAAGAGAGAATTCACGCCCACACCCACACCCACACCCACACCCACACCGACACCCCACACCCCACACCCCACACCCACACCCACACCCCACACCCA